AGATGATACATTTAAAAAAATTACTACCTGAAACATTCGAATCCTTGAATTTGGTTTTGTTGTACGAATCAATGAATTTATCGAATTCCAGTTTTAAACAAAAAAAAAATGATTATATATATTTATCAAGTTTGTTGTTGTTATACTTTCCGGTGCATTTGAAAATATTACATAAAATTTTTTTAGCACCTGTATTTTTAATAAAATGATCTAATACGTTGTTTTTTTTTTTTTGATTTCGAAATAATAAAATTATATATAAATAAATAGGTAGCATTATTACAAACATTTGTAAAATACTGATATGCATTTTATAAATTTAATTCATATGTTTGTGGACATTTTTTTTTTTTTTTTTTTTTTTTTTCTTTCAATCAAGCATTAGATCGTTTTGCAAATCAACGTTCTCTGTTGTAAGGTTTTTCTAAAAATCTGTTTCCTTTTATTTTGTAACATATATATATATGTATTATTTACAGTATGTCTCATTATTTTTTTAATGATTTAGATCAACGTATTGTACGTAGGCTTTTAAATAAATAATGCCTTAATTAAATTCGGAGAAAATAGCATTGTTTCCTTATATATATTTAAGTTTTTTTTTTTTTTTTTTTTTATATTTTCATTTCTGCTCCCATTAAAGTTAACTTTTGTTTATAATTTGTTTAAAGTATGCAACATATATATAGGCTATTTATATTCATTATAATTTTTATGTATTTGAGTACAAAAAAAAAAATTTTTCAAAAATTAAAATCACAAAGTTAAAATATAAAAAAAAAGAGGTTTAAAAAAAATTAAATCGTATCATCCCTTGTGGGGATCGAACCCACGACCTTTGGATTAGAAGTCCAACGCGCTATCCGCTGCGCCAAAGGGACTCATGGATAGTGATGGCGCTACAAGCTCGTTTGTTTTACATCTTTAACTTAAATCAAGTTAAATAATGTTATTATATATAGCTTTTTGTTATTTATTAATTTGCACACACGCATACGTCGTCGTATATATTTATATGTTAAGAAATTTATTGTTTAGTTTTTTTTTTTTTTTTAATTATTTAATTTTATTTGTATTTAATATAAGGTTGTTTAGCCGTATTAAGTAACAAAGTGGACAAATAGAAAAGAAAAAAAAAAAAAAAAAGCATGATCTTTTGAAATATTCATTAGAATTTCACCTAGAGAACAAAATAATAATAATCCTTGAGAATTATTTATACGTTTGAAATTCTATTCTTTACAAATTACAGATTACATAACCCTTTTTTTTTTTTTCAAAAACTAATTTTTGAGAAACAGAAAAATTCTTTTGAAATGATTTTTCCAAACGATCACAATTAATGTATAAAAATAATTTAACAAAATTTTGTTAGTTTTCCCTTTATTTATTTATTTATTTACATTAATTAAAAATTTTTAAATTATTAATTTATTAACTTAAATTGTAATATTATATATAGATGTAATTAATTTATTAAGGACGATCAATGACCGCAATTGTACTTGAACCCAAACCGTGATTTGTTTTCATTAATAAAAAAAAAAAAAAAAAAAAAACGTGAAAGTTAAAAATGTTGGCAAATTGCGTGTGTATAAGTCAAGTTTCAGGTTCAGTAGTAAACTGGTTGCAGGAAAGAGAAGGTTACTTTTTCTTTTATTTTTTTTTTTTTCTGTCTGGGGGTGTCTTTTGAGTGATTAGTTTATGTAAAACAATTTTACAAGAGTTATAATATTAATTTTTTTAATATTTATCGACTAGTAGTAGTAGTAGTAGTAGTATGTGTTTAAATACATATTTTTTAAAGTGATTAAAATATAAAGTGTGTGCACAAAAAATATTTTATACGAATTTGTTTTTATCATATAAAAAAAAAAAAAAAAAAAAAACCGTTCTACGTGTCAGGCTAAATAATTTAATATAAATAATAATAATAATAATTTTTTAAATTTATATATTCAAGTTGAAGTATTAAATGTTTTTACATAAAATTTTATTAGTTTTTTTTTTTTTTTTTTTAAAAAAATTAAGTTCACCAATGGAATTAAATTAAATTAAAATATGGGGAATCGGCTTAATTTTAAAAAAAAAATTTTCTTTCTAAAATTTGTATACGGTTTTTTTAATTAATTATACATTAATAATAATATTTATTTTTATTATTTGAAAGTGGTTAAAAAATAAGAATTAAATAATTTTAATAATAAATTTCAATGGTCATTGATCTTAAATTTGTGGTGAAATTTTTTTTTTTTTTTTCTTTTAAGTTTTTAAATATATATTTTTTTTATTATTATTATCAAGAGTAGAAAGTTACAAATATGTTTGTTTATACATAATTGAACGAATTTTAATTTAAAGTTTTTGGTTTTTTTTTTTTTTTTTTGGGGAGTTTAATTAATTTTTGAAAATAATAGTTAATAATAATAGTTAATATTTATGTCGTCGATTATAATTTTGTGTAAATTGAAGGTAAATTAATGTTGCATTTAATTTAAATAAAAAAGAAAAATTTCACTTTAAAAAAAGGGAAAATATGATTATAGTTTTCTTTACATCGCTTCAAATGCATAGATTTTGCTTTAAAATATTATTTTTTCTACTTATTTTCGCTTATTGTAAAATGTGCATTGTGAAAATTTGAATTCATTACTTAATTTCAATGTCAATTCATGAGATCAGTCAAAAAACTTTTCTTTTATTTATAAACATTGAGAATTTTAAAATGTTTCAATTTATTTTGTAATTAGAACTAAAGGGTGTAAAGGAAAGGAAAGGAAAGGATATTTATTTTTAATAAACAAACATTATGTTTAAAATAAGCGTGAAGTGAAATTTTACTTTATTTAATTTTTTTTTTTTTTTTTGTTTTAAAAGTAATTGAAGTAGGGGTGTAAAAATAAACTCATTTTCTTATGATCACTTCAAAGATTTTTTTATCATATGATTATTTGGTGAAAAACTAAAAATTTATACAACTGTAATGATATACGTTCGATTATTTTCTAATAATTTAAGGTATTTGGAATAATTCTATTGCCACGTTGAAAATATTTACACATTGACCTAGTGTAAATTAATTTCGTTGGTTCCAACGGATTTCATATTAAAAACATTAACTAAAAAATTATAATAGAAATTTTATTGAGTTTATAAAAATCAATAATAATAATAATAATATTTAAACTATTAAAAATGAAATTTTCTACATTATAAATAAAAAATTGTTATTTGAATGTAAATTATGCAAATAAAAAAAAGAAAGAAAGAAAATTGCCAAACAGACAAAGGTTGTTCTTTAATCAGCATTAAAAAAAAAAAAATTCAGCAACTAAAGCATTTAAAAAAATTTAAAATAATAATTTTTTGTTTGTATTGCATATTAAAAAATGTATTCTTTTATTTATTTAAAAAAAAAAAAAATTATTGATTTAGATTTTAACTTAAATAATTTAAAATTCGATTCCTTTAAATATTTACACAAGTTATTATTATTATATTTTTTCCCATCTCGTAATTTTTTATATTAAAAAGTTCAGTCATGTGTTTTCTTTTTTTTCATATATATACCTAAGTATAAATAAGTTTTCTAGAAAAATGAAAATACCAGTATTAGAATATAAACTTGATAAGTCTTTGTTTTGTTTTTTGAATGACCCCAAAATTTAACCTTCGCATTTTACTGATAATGCAACATATTTTTTTTTTTTTTTTTATTAAATTAAATAAGTATATTTTTATATATAAATTTTTGTAGTATATATATTTATTTATATGTTACGCATTAGTAGTTATTGTAGTACGCTTTCTTTTGTTTTTTTTTTTTTTTTGTAAATAGTTCTTCAGGTCATTTATTAATTAGTTTAAATCGTTTGTCATATGGCTTCCAGTGATTCTCACTAAACTATTTTAGTTTTTTCCTTTACTAGCACGGAAATTTTAGTTGTTTTACACCATTTTTTAAAATAGTTTTCAAAAATTATTATTATTTTTATTTTGTTTACCAACAATTAGGTTCATTTATGTCTGAGTGAAAATGGTGATTGTAACAATCAATCATGGCATCTCTTGAGAGAAATGAGAGGGTGCAGGTATTGTGTAGGTTTTATTATTATTGTACATTTTTTGAGGTCTTCATGTTTTACCCAATTATCGAACCCTCCAGAATTAAATAATTCATTGTGTATTTGATATTGATTATTTTCTCTTAATGGAGTTTTTGTTTTTTTTTTTGTTCTTCATTTTTTTCCCATTGAAATTAAGCTTTCGTATTTTATAAATGAAAAGCTGACATACTTTTATTATTTTCTTTATGATTTTTATTCGGCCTCAATGTTGTTTGTTTGTTTTAAAAAATAGCATTCTTTCCTGTTCACTATTTATACAATAATAATAATGTTGTTTCGATTTAAAGTTCTCTTTAACTCCATCGGTATAAACAATTTGTCAACATCAACTTTTGGGTGTATAACCCTCGCATAGGGGCCTTAGATAAAATATTTTTTTACTTTTGTTTAGTGTGTGTACAAAACGTTATTTTTTTATTATTTCAAACTATGTATATTTAATTATGGTTTTTTTAAAAACAAATTTATATAAGGTTTTGTGATTAGATACGAATCTCTAAGAGATATATATATATTGATAATTTTAAAAGTTATTACGTAAAGTTGGTATTTTGTGGTATTAAATGTTATAATTGTTTTAACAGTGTTTTAAATAACATATATTTTCGGCAAATTTATACTTGTTTTTACTTTTAAATATTTTAATAGAAATTTTTCTGTTTTGTTTTAAGAAAACATTTATAACACTCGAACGTTACTAAAAATTATTAAATTATTAATAATAATAATTTTTTTTACGGAACAATAGCGATTATAACCAAAATGCAATGTTTGTTTGTCATATTTAAATTTGTGTGAATTAACGTTTGTTAATTAATAATTATTTTGTAATACTCTTATCAAGTAGGGATTTTGTAAGAAAATGACGTGAAATATTGATTTGTAAAAGAATTAGGTTGAATTTTTTTTTTTTTTTTTTCAAAAAAAAAAAATCTTATATAAATAACATTTGTTTGTGTTGTCTATTGTGAACCTGTATTTGTTTTTTGTTTGATACTAAAGAAAAAAAAAAAAAGTACAAAAACGGTTCGACCTCGTCTAAGCCTTGCTAAAAAAATTACGCACAAAAACATGATTGAATATTTTCAAGATTCATGCGAAAAAAAAAAAAAAAAAAATTTTTTTTTAAATATTTTTTTTCCCACGTTCATGACCTTCGCGGTAAAAAAAATTCGTCAGTTATATTTATGTTTAATTGTGATATTTTCTCTATGATAATAGTTACGTAAAATATATAAGTCATTTAACGTTTTGTGAATAATTAATTAATAAGTTTTTTAATAATAAATTTATAGTTATTTTTTTTTTAATTAAGTAAAAAATCTGACTTGAATTTATAATTTTCATTTACTTTGTTTGTTTTTAAAAAATATATATATATATATATATAAAAACATGTTTGAAAATGGTCAGAATTTACGTAAAGACAATAATAATAAGTGTTCGGAAGTCGCGGAAAAATTTGTTCATTTGTTCGGTTGGAGGCAAACGTATAACGTGGAAAAATTACAAAAAAGTTTAGCAGAATATAACACCCACCGCGAAGCCAAACAATTAATTATAAAAAAAAATTCATTAGACTCTTGTAATAATCCCTCAAATAATGATCATTATAAAGAGGAATTTTTAAATGGAATTGAAAGGAAAACAAAAAGTCATTATCAATCAGAGTTTAATAGAAGTAAATTGCAAAAAACCTATTTGGGTTTGCCATCAACCGAACCGCCGGTGAGTTTTTTATATTTAACTCCTACCATTTACATTCATACATTATAATAAATTATTTTATTTTAACTCCTGCTGGCCTTTTTTTATTTAAAAAAAAATGTAAGAGTTTATCATAATATTAACAAATAATCATCACCATCATCATCATCATCCTCCATCATCATAATTTAATTTCATAATATGAAGGCTGACTCTTTGCGAAATTTATTTTAAATTTATTTCCAAGTTTCCCCCCCCCTCCCCCCATAAAACATTTTGTCAGTTGTTACCTTTGCTCAAATAATAAAGAAACGAATTCATTTTTAACATTTTTTTTGGGGAAAAACTTGTTGTTTGTTTTAATTATTAATACTTTTTCAGGTTTAATATTAAAAAAAGATGAAAATATTGAATTTGTTTTTTAATCGTTATTAATTAAATTATTTTTATTTTTTTAGGGAGCTGATTCGTGGGTTGTAGTCCAAAGTTTGCAAACTTCTGATGGTGGAATTCTCGATCCGGATGATAGACTTAACGATGTTGCTGACGACAGAGAACAAATCGTGGCTACATTTTCCGATGGTGATGGACCTCATCACGGAGGTGGAGATGGTGCGAGTGGGAGTTCTGTCGGAACCGGAAGTCCTGATATTTTTCAAGCGAGTGTTTTATATGATGATTACGATAATTAATATCATTAAGTGTGAGACTAAATATCGATTTTGATTTTTCAGGGAGATGCAAAATGTTACCCTCAAACGTCCGATATTGAAGTCACAAGTGAACAATTAATTTCTAATGCTCTTCAAGTAAGGCGAGGAAGTGAACCTGCGCTAAACCAGTTGGAAAATTCAAATAATGTTTCTGGATTCATTTCAGGAGCACCGCCTAGCAATTCAGCTAATAAAAGGTGGTCGGCTGCTCCTATAATCACCGATGTGGATGACACCGTAGATCATTGTAAAAACGTAAACAACGTTTTAATACTTAATTTATTTTAATTAAATATATATACTAATATTTGTTTTCATTTTATTCAATGATTTTTAAATTTTATAATTTTTAATTATTTAGGATAAGGTATTAAATGGATATTCAAAACCTAATTGGATTTGTCGGGAAGAAGAGGAGGAAGATGATGATAAAACATTAATATCCCCGTCAAAATTTCAAAGAGATGGTTCCAATAGATTATCCATGCAATTTTTACCGGAAGAAATAGGGTAAAAAATGGAATATTTCAATAAATATACTAAACTCTTCGTTTTTTTTTTGTTAACGATTTACTAAAAATAAACATTTACTTACCATTCTTTATCGTACTGAAACTAGAACAAAAAATTAGATAAAGTTTGTCATCACCCTTGATAATACATCAGAGATAAAATTAAGATTAAGATATTGATTATAAAAAAAAAAAAAAATGATTTTTAGGTTAAAATGGACGGAGAGAGCTAATTATGACAGAGGAAGCAGCAGATCCTCTCATTCCTCTTTACAAAGAGACTTTAAAAGGAGGGAACCTCTCGGTCAAGCAAATTCATTTAATTCTTTACCGTCTAAAAAGTCAGATAATAATAATATTTCTGAAGAGGGAAATTTGGTAATTTTCTTCTTTTTTTTTTTTTTTCAAAAAAAATTGTCTTTTATCGTCGATAATAAATTTCTTTTTTTTTTTTTATAGAATTCCGAGTTCGTTATTTTAAAAAACGAAGTTGGGCCATTGGGAATTCACGTTGTTCCAGACTACGATAGCGATGGTAGAGATAGAGGTTTGCTTATACAAGGAATAGAGCCTGGAGGGAGAGTCCACAAAGACGGTAGATTATCCGTTTCAGATCGAATTATTGAAATAAATGGATCAAATTTATTGAATGAGCCATTTCAAAAGTAAGTAAAATAATACTAATTAAAATGTATATATTTATTTTTATAATTTATTTATTTAATTTTTTAGAGTACAAGAAATATTTAAAAATTCATTGTCTTCCGGTGAATTATGTTTAAAAGTAATTAAATCTAATAAAACATCATCCAATAGTAACATTTTAACTAGGCAGCAATCTTTTTCAATACATTCTTTGGATACGAATACGCCAAATGATAATATGGTAGAAGGACATAAAAAAAGTAATTTTGGAAATTTTTTTTTTTTTTACTTCTTCCTTTGTGAAAATTAAATTTTGATGAAATGTATGCGTTTATAATGATTTTTCAGTTATGAACAATTCTGCAAAAGTGGCCACGGTGAGTCCTACAAAAAAAATACTTCACGGAGGTTCTACCGGTGGTAACATCCTACAATCAGCCAACACGAAAAAAATGGGGAAAAAAATAGATTTAGAACTTCTCAAGGGACCGTCCGGTTTAGGGTTTTCAATTACAACGAGAGATAATCCTGCCGGAGGAAAATGTCCCATATATATTAAAAATATTTTACCACAGGTAAGTTAATTTATTTCATTTAAAAATAATAATAATTGATTGAATTTTATAATGAAATTTTAATAAAACAGGGAGCAGCTGTTGAAGATGGCCGTTTGCGACCCGGAGATAGACTTTTACGCGTGAATGATATCGAAATGATGGGAAAAACTCAACCCGAAGCTGTTGCCATTTTACGACAAGCTCCAACAGGATCAATCGTAAAAATATCTGTATCAAGGCAAGAAGATATTCATCACAAAGAGGTAAGTTTACATTTTTATAAAAAAATTTTTAATATTTTACATTAATTTTTGGTACACATTCAAATCATGTTTCTCTTTAAATTTTTTTAATTTTTTTTTTTAATAGCAGAAAAATACAAAGGATTTTGATGAAAGTCAAATTTTTCCTTGGCGTCACAGAGAAATTCTTACTTTTGACATTCCCGTACATGACACAGAAAAAGCTGGTTTAGGTGTTTCGGTAAAAGGAAAAACTTCAGCTAATCAAAATCATTCCAATACCATGGATTCTTCATCCACTTCTAATCAATCAGTAGATTTAGGTTAGCTTGTTAAAATTAGGTTTTGTTGTTTGGTTTTTATCACTTGAATAAATTGAAAATTACCTGAGTTGTTGTAAAATATTTTTCGTAGGTATTTTTGTAAAAAGTGTATTAAATGGAGGTGCAGCATCTAGAGATGGACGTTTAAAAACCAATGATCAATTATTAAACGTAAATGGTAAATCTTTACTCAATCAAAGCAATGCAAATGCAATGGAAACATTGCGAAGGGCGATGCTTTATATAGAAGGTCCAAAACCTGGTACCATAACATTAACGGTAGCTAGAAAAATTTCTAATCCTTCTGCTC